TAGCGTAGTCGGTTTAGCGACTGGCTACAAGTTCGGTGGCCAAGGGGTAGGAGTTCGAGTTTTGGTAAAGGCAAGAATTTTATCTTTATCAGGTCGCCTAGACCGGCTCTGGGGTCTACTCAGCCTCCTGTCCGTGGTTTCCCCGGAGTTAAAGAGGCAGGGTCATGAATCTGACCATTAGTGCCGAGGTCAAGGACGCGTACATCTATATATCAACTCCCCCATAAACCTTCATGATGTAGCGCTTAATAAATTAGGAGCGGGACATTATATTCTCTTAACATGCTTTGGACTATCACGCAGTGTAACCCGGTAGAAATTCACCGACGTTTCAGAGTAGTATACTGCACCCATCTGCAGAATGGAGAACAAGCTAAGTAAGAAGCAGGCGGCACCCAACCTTGAAGATAGAGGCAGTATGTTCCTCCGAAGTATAATTGAAGATTTTCCGCACTACATGATAGCCACAACGATGGGAACCTCCATTATATCAATATGATTGTCAGTAAAGAAATTCAGACCGCGTCAGCTCATGCGTTAGTAACGTAGCAGGACATGACGCTGGTCATTACCTAGCATATGCGCATGCGTCGTTGAATTCCTTGTTTCTCAAAAGAACAATTAAATTTCAACCGTAAAACTTAAATTCAATTCAATTATTGTAATTGGTAAACCACGTGGAATTTAGTGAGATTATATTGCTTACATTGTATCGATAAATAACATCGTAGAAATGGCACGAAGATGTCAGAGTAAGAAGAGTTCGTGGTCTGACAATAAAGTTCGCGAACTCGCCACAGTATGCTTGCCATGGCAGCAGTGGACAGAAACCTCAGTATGATTTGATGACGTTGGTATGTAAGAGTTCCACAGCTATGTTGTTGTTGATCTATGGCAATCTCTTTCTGAGTGGCGTCTGTTGCTGTCTGGGTGTGTTTTGGTGTGCCGTTGCAAAAATATTGGAGCTTCTTGTTAAACTTGGCAAGAGCGGAAGCGAAATTGAGAGATTTTAATGTAAGGTAACGGGGATACTGCTATGAAGAAAACAGGAGTCTACAGGCGCGTGACACGTTTCTCTGAGGGAAGAGAAAATGTCATTGATGAAGAGAGATCAGGACAGCCAGCAACGAGCAGAACTGAAGAAAAATTTGCAAAGTTTCGTCAAATTGTGCATGAAAATCGTCAGCTGACTCTCAGGAGCATAGCAGAGCAAGCGAACATCGACAGAGAAACAGGAAAATCTTAACTGAAAATCTTGACATGAGGAAGGTGTGTGCAAATATTGTCCCAAGGACACTGTCTGTAAGGGATCTTTTTAGCTAATTAATAAATAACTGAGATTGAACACCCTCCCTATTCACTGGATTCAGCCCCCCAGTGACATTTTTCTATTTCCGAAGGCAAAGGAAATATTGAAAGGAAGACATTTTGATAACATTGATGACACCAGGAGTAATATGACGGCAGCTCTGAAGGTTATTCCAGAAAACCAGTTCCAATTTATTTTTAAGGGTGGACTAGGCGCTGGCATCAGTGTATAGCTTCTCAATGGGAGTACTTTAAAGGACCACGGTGAAATGCAACAGTGAGGTATATAGCACTTTACCATGATGAGTTCGCGAACTTTATTGTCAGATCTTGTATTATATTCTGATACAGCGCCGTGTGCTCCGTTGAAAATCAACTGATGTTTCGGAGGAACATGTCAGTTCCATCTTCAGGGTTGAAGAATAGTCCGAGGATGAAAGCAGAATAAAGTCTTAGTTCTGCTTGTCACCTGCTTGTACGCTACTTTCTCGTTCGGATTATTCTTCAATCCTGAAGAAGAAGGTGATATGTTCCTCCGAAACTTTTGCCTGACTTTCAGCGGACTACACGGCATTATACCCCGCAGGATAATAGTCTTCACAAACACATCTGTAAGCATATCAAATCCCACATCGGAGTACTATTTCCACATAAACAGAAATAATATTTATATATGTGTACCGTTTTCCAGAATATATTGCGCCCTTTTGTAATCCAAAAACCTCTTCCCCTTCCTTTATGTTCACGTTCCAATTTATGCGTAAAGATGCAATGAAATGGGCTTCTAAAGAAAAACACACCCACACGTCCATGTATTTGGAAATTACTCGTTATATTTTAAGTGATGTGTGGCATTATTTTCCGCTTCAATTTAATTATTAAAATTTTGGATGAGTATTAAATTATGGAAAATATGATACTTCTACGTCTTTATTACGCTACGCTCTGGTTCCTTTAGGAAGAGAACAGCCCATGTATAGCATTCAGACATTGCCATACTACATGTCTCACCACAAACATAATTAATCTCATTGCTTGATATTAGGTTTGTCCAGTGTGTGTGTTATGGCTCTTTCCCCCCACCCCACCCCTTGGCACTACAGCCCCAGTGGGCCTAGGCCTAACTCCATGAACTTCTCCGTTCACTTCGGTTTTTCTAAATCTTAGACATACGGTAGGACCCCTTGGGCGGGTGATCAGCTCTTCGCAAGGCCTCTACCTGTACACAAACACAGAAAAACGCACACAAATATCCATGACCTGAGTGGGATTCGAACTCACGATCCCGGCTTCGGAGCGAGAGAAGACAGTGCATGCCTTAGACCGCTCGGCTACAGTGACCGGCAGTGTATAAGAATAATATATAACAATTCAGTTCGTACCTCACAGGAAACAGATCCGAACCCACGATCCCGACTTCCGAGCGAGCGAAGACAGTGCATGCCTTAGACCGCTCGGCTACCGTGACCGGCTATGGCTCTTTTATTGTGTGTTATTTAATGGAACGGTCAATATTTATAATCTAACAGGTCAGGGAATGCTATTACATTGGGTGAACATTACATATTATACGATATGTTGTATTCTGGGTTCAAAGAAACAGATAATTAACAAAACGAAACTCACTGGATAAGGAACTATGAAAACAAACTGACTAAGGCTGACAACAGACCGCTCCTCTTCTGTTAGCTTCCCAAGTCCACTAAATTCTGCGACACCGAAGGATCAGAGTCCGTCGAAACTTTGCTTTCAATATTACTTCTACTGTTCCTTGCACTGCTGCTACTGCTACTGCTAGCGCTACTGGTGGCAGTTGTCGGAGGTTTTCTCGGTGTTGTTTTAATACCCAGAACTTTTCCAAATGTCGGTTTTACTGCCTCTACTAGCCTCTGTGTACGTGCTGCCGTGTTCTGGAACAAATGGGTAATCAGATTATTCTCTGTCCAAAATATCTTAGAGGGTGCGTCATGATCCGATTGTGACGTAGATTGTTACGTCATCATAAGGAAATCACTGTATTTTGCGTTTAGTTTGAGGCCCTCAACAGAGGTGACAGTAAATTACCGTCTTGTAGCAGACGACGTCTTGTTACCCACACTTCGAAGAAATTCGGTTCTTCAGAATATATCAGACTACGTTCTTATACAATGAAGATGGAAGCAGTACGTTCATCCGAAATGTCTGCAACAGTCTACAAAACTATACATATTGTAAAGGTAAAGCTATCTCTGGAACAGGCCGCGAACGCCCATAGGCTTGTGAGACGTAGAGGCCCTCACAATTGGCTCACAGATAACGGTAAGGTTGTCAGCCTTACGCTCCGGCCACCCTTTACTCCCCAGGAAGATTCCTGGTACTCATTTCTGTCATAGACTAAGTCGGCCACAGGGCAGCTGGAAAGATTAGATAAATTAAAGAATCCACCTCATCGGGACTTGAACCCGCGACTTTACAGATTGTAGCATAGCCTCTGAAACCGTCAGATTATAAAATAAATTAATTGCAAATTTATTGTAGCTTTGGCAGTAACATACAGCTCAGGTTTCCATCTTATCATCTAATTGTTATCATTAACATATCATTTCGAGGGTTAGGCCCCCCATACACACACAGTTTGGCCTTCCGATCGTCCTTACAGGCAAAACTGTGACAGTTTACCCCTCCCTTTCCTCCCCATACCGGCCAGATAAAACGGCAGGCTTCATGCCACAATCACGGTCTTCCAGCCTATAATGTTGAGTCACACACATCACGTGCTACGGACCTGCAGGTAGAACTGACGCACTGACGGGTTTCCCACAGGCCAACAGTCCAAACGATTGGCCGGCCGGCCGCACCACTCACGTCAGTTTTGCCTCTCAGTCTTCTACTGTGCAGGCCGAACTGGAGGCCAAACTATGTGTGTATGGGGGCCCTTAGACTTACCAGAATGACGTCACTGATGATTCTCGATATTCTGGTGATCAGTGAAAACGAGGAACCGAATAATTCCCCGGGAAGGTCTAGAGAAACGCGCGTGCTGTCAATGTCCGCAATGTCCTCTGTCGTGGTGGATCCGGCCGGTTTAACCTGGAAACACACGCATCTCTGGTATAATACACATCGTCTGCTGTAAGTGGGAAACGGAGCAGTAACTTGGGGCAGGTGGCACTTCTACTTTATGCTCCGTGGGTCCCTAGTTGAAATCTCGGTCCTGAGACCCAACTGAGGTTTTCCTTAGCGCCTCCAGGCCAAATCCTGGAGAGTGGCTTCAATTAGGCTGTCACCACATTATTTCGCATCCCTTCCCCTGATCGGATTGACGTAGTGGTAATGTTCTGGACTTGTATTTATGGATGAGTACTCAGTTCGAATTTCGGCTGGGGCATCGGCTGTACTGACAGAGGCTTTTGTGGGGTTTTCTCAGTCCCTCCAGTCAAATACCGGGATTATGCCTCGAGTAGGCCACGATGCTTGCTCCCAAATTCTTTCTAATTCGTCATCTTACCACCGGACGTTACGTAGTCTAGGTAATGACAATAAATTAAAGTAATCCAAACTCGCTAATCATGCTACAGCAGGTGTTTCATAGTCTAGGATTCTTTAAATAAATTGTTAATAAGCAAACAAATACAATATCGTGTAACCCAATATTACATTTCAGCATCCTGTTGCATTGATACGTCACTTGTCCACTTGTTTCCGTCTCTAATGCAACATAAAATTTAATTTTAAAAAGCCATTAAAACCACATTCAATTTCCTGTCATTAAAATCAAATTTTATTTTACTGTTGCGACATGTTTCGGCCCCACAAGGACGTCCTCATACACCGCCGCACTCTGTCAGCTCGTGCGTCAATATACAGTATTGCATGCAATTCCTGCACGTCGTCGTTGTTGGAGAATGTGCGCCCACGCTCCACTCATGCTACCTTCACACTGCGGTGTCCACGTTGTTCCCTTTGTGTGTAGCCCTCCGTAGCCGGGCGTTTGTCCCTCGTATTGATGTATGACCCTGGGCTCGACTCAGCCTCTAACAGAAATGAGTAGCAGGAATCTTCATGGGGAGTGAAGGGCGGCCGGTGCTTAAGGCTGACAGTCTCACAGCCATCTGTGAGTCGACTGTCTAGAAAATGTGGGAACCTCGACGTCACACAAACCTTAAGGGCCTCCACGGTCTGTTACAGGGATAGTTTTACCTCTCAGTGCACAGATTAGCAGTAGAAGTCTAACTAATTTAATTGGAATACGGAACAATGTTTCCTTTACTTATTTCAGTCATTATTATCCATCATCAAAAGGCATAGTTTGCACTAAAATGTAACTACACTACGTATATTTTTGTTTGAACATACATTATTCCATTAACATTAAGCGTCGGAGAACTGCTTATGGTAATTACAGAAACGAAGACTAACCAGTTATTAGGCCGCGCAGTAGCTCAAGCGGTTAGTCGCTGGCTTCCCACCATACCGGCCCAGGTTCGATCCCGGGTCTGGTCAAGTGGGATTTGTGATGGACAAAGTGGCGCTGATCCAGGCTTTCTCCGAGTACTTCGGTTTCCCCTGCCAATCTTCATTCCACTAATTGCTCCACAATCACCCTATCATCTGGGGCAGCTTAGCCAGCGAAAAAAAAAAGTTCAACTTCACTGATAAATATTTTGAGCTTACTGTAATTGGTACATTGAGTTGTGTAAGAATTTCGAACTTAATGTCGGTATTTAATATTAACATACTCTGTAAAAAAATCTATGTGCCTTGGGACATGTTAGCCAACGTAAAAGCCTGTAATTTACGCAAGGTAGAACCTCGCCCACTGTGTGGTTTCGCCATACACGCGACACAGTCAAGTGACGACGTATATTAACCGTGCTCATTCTTAAAGTTTAAAGTTTAAAGTTTAAAGTTTAAAGGTGAAGTATTCCCTTTCAGTGCCGATCACTGTGGCAGCGCAGTCTAAGCATGAACCGTCTTCGGACGCTCGAACACTGGGATCGTGGGTTCGAATCTCACTCGAGGCATGTATATGTGTGTGCTTTTGTTCTGTGTGTAGGTAGCGGTCTTGCAACGGACTGATTCTCCGTCCAAAGAGTTCTACCGACAGTGTGTAGATTAAGGAATTGAAAAATGAACCGTAGATAGATACATGGATAGTACCTCCTCGTGAAGGCAAACAGCGAGTGAGGAGGCATAGCACCATGCATTGTGGATCGAGAGACGCCATAGATTAGCCAATGTGGAGATTAAGCTAGATGACAGGAGAATAGGGGTTCAATTCACGACAAAGGAAGGAGATTCTTACTTTCTGCCCAGTGTCCATATGTGCCGCAAAGCACCAATCAGAGAGGTTCTTTCGACCAGAGGAAAGAGACCTGGGCCTTAGTCTGACCACTCACATCGATCAAGTGGCGAGGATAAGAATATGTGGAGCTGAACCTCTACTCCCTCATACATTTTAATTCGTGATGTGGCATTCGAATCTCTTGTTTGTTTCTCCAACGGACGTCACGACGTTCGTTTACAACGGACCCATTTTGTGCACTCGTGTAGTCCCAGCGTCCTATCCGCAAGGCTGGGGCCACAGGAGCGCACAATATCCGTCCGTTGCAACGTACGTACTATATGACGGACGTTGCTGAGGACACCACTCCGTTGCAGAATGCGATGCGTAATTTTTTTGTCTGCAATGGAGCCAGAATAAAGCGTAGCATTCTCCTCTCTTGTTTATTTCTACAACGGACCTCACGACGTTCATTACAACGGACCCATTTTATGCGCTCGTGTGGCCCCAGCCTTAAGTGGTCATTTTCCCTGAGATTGAAGTCGATACGTCGTGATGCATAATTAAGCACAGGTAGAAATTTATCTTTAAATGGATGCGCGGTATCTGAAAGCATAATTTTACCAAATTCCTGGGAATTTTATCATTTATATAACAATTTATTATTTTTTTCTCTGGGACTTACCAGTAATAAATTAAAATATGGCTTCAGATCAATTGATGAATTTGTTTATTAGTTTTAATTTTTAAAGAAAATCTTTCTGCCGTATAAATTGGCTTCGACAAAATAGGAGACGGTGAAGTCATGGATGTGCATAAGGTGCATATTCTTATGTTATTAATACATATCTTAGTACATATGTTCTCATTGATTTATTTTCACTGTACGAGTATACATACATCACACATACAATCAGTTATATAAATAAATTAAAATCTTATTAGGTCTTATTAATTTAAATCCAGTACAAAATATAGCGAATTGGTACATATGTAATGCAAATAATATTCATCTAATAATAATATTGAGCAAATTGTGTGTGTATGAGGCCGAATACGACCGAATCGACATTCAGAAACTTAAGCTAATTTCCGAAGTGGTAAAATCTTTGATCGAAGAAAAGGAGGGTGAGGGGGGAAGGGAGGAGAGGGCTAGAGGGAGGAAGGGTGGAGAGGGGGGGAAGGATATTAGAAAATCTGAAAAATATCTACGTAAGCATGAAAGCTGAACATTTGTAAAAACTGTCCAGTCGTGGGTTTACTCATTTCCCTCTTACTCAGAACAAAATGGCGATTCTCTTAATCTGCTTAAGCTTAGTCTTTGGAAAAGAATAAGAAACAAATAATAGTGCTCTAAAAATTGTATGGACAGTGTTTTCTTTTGAAAAAACCGATACTATTGTACTGGACATTGATATGTTGAAGTTTTTACAAACGCAACCTTCCAGAAACTAGACCCGTTTCCGTTTTCATGTCTAAGGTCGAAATATTTCTACTCGGTTAAGGTCACTTATCCATTGAGCAGGACTAGCTGTTTTTAATGGTTTCAACTTTTCAACTATCTAGTAAACTTTCCTCCCTTTACCTGAAGAAGGAAACAGATACACTTTTGATAAATTTATGTTTTTAAAGAAAACAATTTATTTGACAAAGTCGAAAATTATAAATAGTAGGTCTCACTGTGAGTGCAGAAATAGTTTCGTGTTTTGTTGCTTCGTGATACCAGTACATTGCTTAACTATTTGGTAATAATTTTGACTTCTTTTTAAATTTGATTAAACTAATTAAATTCACTGACCAACACTCCGAACACTACTGTTATCTTTACAACACTGTTTCGACTCAAGAATATTACCACCGTGATTATCTCAAAACACTTAACGCATAATTGTTGCCAAATCGACTTCAGTGAAAATATATATATGTTCCGGGCGAAGATGCAAATTATATGCGAGGTTTGAGGTTCTAGCAGTGTTGACTATGAAGAGTAGTGTGACACCGTATAGTCTGGTAGAGGTTTACCGACGTTCTACCTAAACGTTTGTAGACTTTCATCAGACTGCACGCCGTCACAATGTAAGAGATAGTACTTTCATATCAGTGATAAACTTCTTTATAATACAAGCGTGATGATTTTATAACTCAGGTGAAAATCATGAACGAAGCATAAAAAGTGATGATGAAGAGATGATAGTAGTGATGATATGTACCCAAGAAGACATAATGGAGAACACACTCTAGTATGAAGGTGGATAGGCAATCCCCTGTAAAGAAATCGAAAAAGTACTTAGTAGGTGACGCGAAAAACTTAACATGAAAATATGAAGTTTTCACTTTCATCGGATGATTAGTTACCTAGATAGACACCCGACCTTTCGGAGACTGTCCCTCTTCTCATCATTATAGACAAATTTGAGGAAGAAAATTTTGATAGCTACATAAAATGGTTACTTTCATACGTGGTTGCCTGTCATTACGGAGTGCCTGATATGGATGAGCCGCAGAGGTTCACTTTAGTGACTACAACTGGTACCTAATGTTGTCAAGGTCAAGGGACGCATATATTGAACTAAAGCCATAGATGTTAGTGATCTTCAGCAGAAGAAAAACTCTGATACGAGAACAATTCACTCAGATATGAAGATCCGGAATTTCATTAAAGTCATTAACTACAATATATATCACTTGTGTAAAACAGGTTTATGTATCTCAGCTCATGTTTCTAACAAAGTCTGTTCTCAGACAAAAATAAAATATGGAACATTTTTAGGATTTTATGTTCTCACAGCAGGAAATAACACAGTTTGGTCCATCGAAAGTCAAGCGACGTTTCGGAGGAACATATCCCCTTCATCTTCAACGTGGAAAAGAAGAATAAGAGTTCTGTTCGCTACCTGCTACGTGTTGGTTTCTTGACTACCTTAGTGTTCGACCCTGATGATGGAGACATGTTACTCCGAAACGTCAGTTGACTTCAGATGAAGTGTTCTATATAATATTTGCTCAAATATAATTCTCTCACGAACCTTGCTCCCATTTAAATTTTGTGCTTCAAATAGAAGTTTTTTTACACATCAGTTGGACACAAATAATGGGATTCTTTATTTATTTTGTAAATAAATTTTGATGTACTGTATTATATATTTCAGGGGTTGCCTGAATGATTCTATTACTTTACATGTGAAATTAAACGTGCCTAAATGAATTTCGTAATAAAGTTTTCGGGGGATGTTGAAAGGAGAAAATTGAACATTATATTTGAACAAATATAGTACTCGTACTTATGTTGTAGGATTTGAGGTTTCCACGGCGGTGACTATGAAGAATGCTATATTCTGGGATGTGGCGTCGGGTAGATATTATCTAAACTGACGATTCGGAGGAAGGTATCGCCTCCATCTTCAGGATGTAAAAATCGGCGAGCGGGGAACCAGCTTGAGCAGGTGGCTGCAGACTGAGTCGTCAGTTGAAAACACTCAGTTATATAACAACAGGAAGGGATGAAGAGTGGGCCAAAGGGAAATCAATGGAGAGGAGAGGGGAAGGGTCTGTGGAGATGGGCCACCAGGTAGCAGGCCAGAGCAGTTATAGGATTGATCAGGGGGGGGGGAAGAGGCAGTGTTACAGGGAGAGCATCGACCCAATAGCCTCGGGGCCAAGCTGTAGAGCGAGCATCGACCTGAGGCAAGAACTAAGTACACCGGGTGTATACAGAATCCCCTGCGAGTGCGGCAAGGCCAACATTGGACAGACAGGCCGTTCCGTTGACAAGAGGTTGAAAGAGCATCAGCTGCACATCCGTCTTGAATATGCAGACAAGTCAGCCGCGGCTGAACACAGCGTCGACAGCGCATTCAATTTCACAATATCTCCATCCTCACTACCAAGACTCTCCCTCCCTCCCTTCATGTTGTTATGTGACTGTGTGTTTTCGACTGGCGACTCAGTCTGCAGCCACCTGCTAACGCTGGTTCCCTGTTCGCGGATTTTTACACCCTGAAGATGGAGGCGATATGTTCCTCCGAAACGTTGCTTTACGCAATATCAACACAGCGTTACATCCCAGAGGACGACATTATTCAGTGTTTATGTTGTTTGAGTTTCTTCCCTTGAATATAGAATTCAAATTCATCTGAATGTTAATTGCTATTGCAGCTGGTACATCTTTCCATCTTGTACTGAGTAAAAGCAATTTGTATTTATCAACTGCATCAGTATTCAAAGTCTCGGACTCATAGCGTTTAAATTGTCAGGAGAGGTTTTCTCTTCGGTGTTACTATTAATACAGTGCAACTGGGAGATGGTTGTCTCTTCAGTACGAATAGCCTTGGAATGCACCTGCGGGCTAGAAACGTACAAAATAGCGTTAATCCCAAAGCATAACCACCAAGTAGCACTTTGTAAAATGTATCCTGCCAATACTTAAGGAAACCTCGATCTGGTGTATGGATTTACTGCATAAAATCTATGTTAAAAGAGACATGTAACTACTTATATTTATGTACCGAATAATTTATTATCCATGTGAAAATGTTGGGTCCGAAATTCTCACAAAGGTGATTATGAAAAGTATTATTTTCTGGGGTGTGGTGCCATGTAGACCGGTACAAGTTGATGTTTCGGAGGAACAAGCAGCATTCTCTTTCAGGGTAAACAAACAGTTCTATCCTGAAAATGCAGGTTGTACTTTTTCTTAAACGTTCATATCTATTCCATGGACTAAACTTCATCACATCCCAAAAGGTGGTAAACTTAATATTTGCCTTCTTGAGGATCTCAGGTTCATATCAACTCTACATATAATGATACAGAGTGCTTCGAGTTAATGTGCGCTCTTGTGTTACGGAATTTGATAATGATGAGAAAAAGAATATACAACTATCCCGCTGAGAAGCCGTGGAGGCTCATAAGTTTGTGAGACGTCGAGATTCCCATATTTTCTAGAAAATCGGCTCACAGATGGCAGTGAGATTGTCAGCCTTATGGCCGGCCACCCTTTACCTCCAAGAATATTCTTGATACTCATTTCTGTTAAAGGCTGATGCAACCCCAGGGCCATAGTGAGGCTGGAAGAATTAAGTCAATTGAAAAACCTAATGAGCTTATCGGGAATCGAACCGGCGACCTTCCAAATTTTATCAGAGTGCCTTAATCACCTACGCTACCGCGTTCCTCCTGATGATGATGATGACATTTTATGGAACGCGAAGGTTTATTACCATTTTGAAGACAGCCCGCCACTGTCCTCTCTACTGAGCCAGTTAAATCCAGTCCACACCCTCCTGTCCTATTTTTTAAAGATCCTTTCGGAAATTGTCAGAGCTTCCTTCACAGTTTCCTGACAAGGTTTTCGTATGGATTCCTCTTATCTGCCATAGAAGCCACGTGACCTGTTCACTTAATTTGATAATCCTAAAAACATTTGGCGAAAGAATAAAACAACGATTTAAACTGACGACTATTTGCCTGCAGTCGGCATGTAATTATACATTGAATATCTTCTCTTTTAAAATACATACAGTAACCTAACATCTTCAATCCAGACTCCATTTTTGGCAGTAGCAGTTATGTACATACCCTTAAACATACATTCGCCAGTAATACTAACCTTATGCTGCATTTTCGTATCTTCTGTAGGCAGAATTATCTTCATGAAGTATCTGTAATGTTCTAAATCATATATCACTCGGACGCAGATACGTTTCCTGAAGAAGCGCTGGTTACACTCGATCCGTGATAATCACTAATTACGCCATGAAGACATTTGAGGAAGTGAATGTATAGATACAGACTAACCGTCTGAGCTATAGAGCGGTCCATAGTGCAGGTAATTGGACTGATATTTTCAGGATGTAGTGTAGAGTAATGTTATGTCGCCCCCATACCCGAACTGTTTAGACCTCTTGTGGCGCCCCTGTATTTTAGGCACTTCATGCAAAGTACATAAGAGTAGATACAGACGATCTTACCGTGGTTTGGGCAGGAGTGTCGCATGGTTTCTGCCCGTACAGACCGTACACCTTGTTAAGCGCGATGTTCTTCTTGTCTAGCTCACCAACTAGTCTCGTCTTGTAGTCGATGAACTGATTCACTTTCTGCAAAACAGTCACACGTAGCCAATACAACATTTTTGTGTGAAATTAGTATTTTTAAAGGTGGTAATTATTGTGATTTGTAGAACCATTGCCATGTATACAGGCGACAGTACAAGAGCCATTGCTAGGGAACAGCTCTGTGGGCACCAGTATATTGTAGAGTGTACACGTTACTAGGTGGCGACTGCGTGGCAAGCAACGAGACAACAGCCTTTGCTATGTAGCAGCCGGCGCGCCAATGGACTGGCTAATTAGCGATCACGTGGGAACCCCAAGAGACGTGCACGCAACTGTGTTTTCTTTTTTGTCCGTGTCGAGGGGTTGTAAGCGAGACGAAGCTTAGAGCACAGTTCAGTTGTGAAAGAATTCTGGAATATTCGCCAATCGCTAATGAATTGAGCGCGGAAGCTGAAGAAATTGCTGTTAGAAGTCGTTACCAGAAAACGACTGATGAAGACAAAGTAGACTGAGAAGCTTTAGCGTGTGCTCTAGTGATTTGTAATTTGTGAAAATTAGTAATACTGTTATACTCATTTGTACTTACGGCCAGTAAGTTATCAATAAATCAAATCTGCAGTCCAAAACCCCGTCGAGAGTCACTCTAACATGTGACAAACATATATACACTAGACTCTGTGGTCAAAACGAATATATATTCGAATTAAAGTGTGTTTTCCAGATCGATATATTGTTTATCTTATATTTTACTGTCTCAGATTCGAAACTTCCCTTTTTCTCGCATCCTACGACTCACAGGGCTACGGTAGAAGTATTCGACACCGCCTCCACACAGGATTAATGCTCATTCTCCATCAGACTCTTTACACCTTTAATTCTTGTAGCTTATTGTTATAGCCGCGTGTTTATAGCTCCGTTGCCTAGCAATGGGTATAAAAAAATAAAGTTATCCCTGTAACAGGCCATGAAGGCCTATAGGGTTGTGAGACGTTGAGGGTCCCACATTATCTAGACAATCGGCTCACAGATGACAGGTATATTCTCAAGGAAAATTATTTATTTAATTCTTTGTACTC